ATAGCACCCGATGCAAGCTTCGTCCCCAGATACCATCTGTTCATCATTCATCTCATTGCGTGAGACATTAATTTGCTTATCAGATGGCCGCGAAGCTATAGCCTTTTGATGACAGATACTTGCGATAACAGGCAACTTAGTTCAAGTCTAACTTTGCTTAAATATTTTATTTAACCACATTATAAAACTTACTTGCTGATTAGGTTCATTTTGTATCCATAACAACGTTCATACAAGCGAAACATGTATTATTACGATACATTCAGAGGCTTCTTTTTCATCAAATATCTAATAAAGGCCTGAAATAACAAAAAAAAAAAAAACAAAATAGATAACTAATAGATTGCTCATTACTGCATCGTATAATACGTATTTGGTAATCATGGCAACGATCGATCATATCTGATTACTTTGTCCAATCTGCAGCGATTCAGACTAATGTCCCGGATCGAAACCAGTTCTTCTCAGCTTTAAAGAAAACGCACGCGGTTTTTTCATTTTCGTACTTAGACCCTACTAATTATGAACATAAACATAACATATTTCACAACCATCATTCCCAAGGGTCGCGGTTAAAGCACAGATTTATTGGTTCAAACTATCGGAGAAATACAATCATGTCTTGAAACGATAACAAGCTAGATAACTCTACATCTTTGGCAAAATTAAAATGTTTTAAAGCAAAAGTTAGTCATTCGAAGCCAATGGCATTGATGGTTTTGTGAGCACGTTTACGTTTTACGTCCGATTACAAAGTTGATTAATGCGGGAATTCTGAACTTAATGCTTTTCAGCATTTTCCGCACTTTCCCACTTTACGTTTCCGCGTTTTACCGCGACCCCATCCCCATACGTACCACAACGTAGACAGACGAGCGGTAAACCACTACCCAACCCATGCCACCATGATTAGCCAAATCGTAGGTTTTTCAGATTTTCAAGATTTTTAGTGAAATGGGTAGGGTCTGGGCGAGAATGTGGTTTGTCGAACTGAAGCTAACAAGCACTGGGCCGGGAATGAGGATGAAGTAACCGTCCGGGTGAGTTGTGTACACTTGTTGTTAGTGACTAATGTTTCGACAACCTGGGCAGTATTAATCTTTAGAGCGACAGTGTATAGTATTTACATTTTATTCATAGTTTTTCTGAATGCTATTCCTTATCCATCCAGACGAYCATACGATTCTGGCTTCAAATCCTTCACTGTGAATCGATACTACGACTCCCAGTAGGTATATTCCGCTCTGGTATGTTCAACTACAGTATGGAACCTCACCTTCATCTTGGGCGTAATGTTCTCCCATTACCGACCACTTGTCACCGTTCTAAAGTGTAAATTCTTTGTCTAACGGTTGCATATGGGAAGGCACATGAATATGGTACAGTTCAAATAAACTCTTATACTCAAGAGAATGGCACTAGGTCTGATATGGGAAAACATTATATCCAAAGTGAAAAGCTCCATTGGAACGAGCTTAGTGTTGCTTAGTGGGGTATTTGAAAACGAAAGCCGTGCAACGGGAACCTGGAGTGCTTTCCATTTTCCAGGAAAAACCGGAAATTCCGGTTGGAAAACATTAAATGGTATGCATCATTTCGATCGGAAAGTCAGTCTGGAAAATGCGGTCTTGCGCTTGAGGTAATCCGCTATTTATGTTCATTTGGTTTCTTTCGATAGACACGTTTACCATTTTTCGAAGTGAGAGGATTCTCGGCCTCTAGAACTTAAATGATTAACCCCTTGCTATGACCAGCAAGCTCAAAAAGTTTGATGGTGACACTAATGGTTTTGAACGCATTCTCACTCCTTTCCATGTGGGATGCGTTTATGAAAATTATAAACAGAACGTACATCAGTAAATATGCCCTACTTCAAAGATTATCTGCTATGGAAACATGATTTCTGGATTTTTACTTTTTGATTCATTGAAAAAGGACTGGCATACTTCCAGACATCGAGTGCTGAACCGTCGTATGGCAGCGCGAAGCATTTACGGCTACGCCGGAGATTTCGACCCCGACACCGCTATCCGGAGATTTACAGACTGATCAGGAAGCTCGGCCGAAGCCTAAGAGAGAGGTTAGTCGGCCCCTAGACCGTAGATGATTAACCCCTTTTTGTTTTAGCTTCGCACCAGTGTCCCAAGATGTGCAAAAGGGACAGCATGGTGGTCTTTAGCAAGGGGGGGTCCTACATGGACGCCAGAGACACGCCGGGGTGATGAGCCCCGCCCCCCATGTAGACCTACACACTACAGATTACCACAATAAACACTAATACAAAAAGATAATCAAAACATCATTTACATATAGAGTATCATCCTGGT